TTTTTCGTCGAAATAATCAATAACGGAATAGTTATGTTCAAAATTAGGCAACTGATTGAAGTGATAACTCGTATTTTGCAGCCTGGTTAGTTACAGGCTGTCTCCAGAGTTAGTTAGTGCTGCACTGGTTGAATGCGTGTGGAGGTTTCCTTACAACCACGACGATACGCCTCCTTTTCAGCTGAAGTCAAAATTCAGCCGGGTACTTGGGTCACCAGCGCCGAATCCCGCAGCGGCGCGGAGCAAGCATGGCCTTGGGTGCTCTCGCCGCCAGGCAAGGTGGCTGCACCTCTCCAGCCGAAGGGCAGAAACGAGACTTTGCGATGAGCCCAGTCAGGAAGCTCAGCTGTCCCTGATGAACTTTCCATATGACCAGCGCTCATTAGCGCTCCTTTGACCAGAAGCTCTAGGAGCCTTTCCACGTTCATAACCCATGCAAGAGAAGCCCCTCGGCTGTGGCTGCAGCTACTGTCAGTAAAAGCCATGCCAGCTGCTATCTCCAGGCATTCTGTGACCTCCTGTGCAAGACAACGCCACCTTCACTTTCATCTGTTAAAGATCGGTCATGTTAAAGCCCTGCTCAGAGCGACCGTACCTGTCCCAGCAGCACAGCCCGTCTTTCCTCAGGAGGCATCTCCTGACAGCGGTGATTTCAGAGGCGGCCTCTGGTATTACAAGCTCACTCTACATACATAACTTCTGGGCACAAATTACATTTATATCTTCACCTACTTCAGTGTGAGCCGCCAGACTGTAATTAAATTACACGTAGCCTGGGAGCCTTGGTCAGGGACTGGAAGCTGAGTACACGCGGCACGGTACAAACGCAGATTTTCTGTTTAAGCAGCTGTGGATTTTATCTGTGAATGGAGAGCAGCCTTGTTTTCTTTTCCACATGCTCACAAAACCCTTAAGCAGCCCCCCAAGCCTTTGAAAGCAGAGAGCCAGGGCTGGGCAGAGCGCGCAAGCTCCCTTCAGCCCTTGGGCAACGTCAGCGAGGCACCGGCAGCTCCACGTGCTTGGTAACTGAAGCAGTAAGGAACAGCGTGAAAGCTGCCTCTCTACGCAGCCATCTGTTAGGCTTTCGTTACGCACACCCCCAGCCACTTCTAGGGGATGCTAAGGTGACGCGGGGAGCGAGGCATCCCACCACGAACAGGGAGAGCGAGGCATCCCACCGCGAACAGGGAGAGCGAGGC